TTTTCCCAAACTCGAACTGGGGACATGGTACACGTCGAGCGAAGGTACGCTCCACTGCGCTAACCCCTCTTCGTCTAATTAACTATCATCTTATTTAGTTATAACTAGTGCGTATCTTGTGCGATGCATGAGAAGCTCATATTTATAGCCTATTAACCTCTCTTTACATAATACTTTTTATATAAGTAATATTATTATACCTTAAATAATAGACATATATCACACATTGCACAAAATTTGGTATATAATATGGTTTAATCACCATTTAAACATAATTTATTATATTTTTCCAGTGGTATCCTATATACGATATATATGTTCCTAATATTTCTCAACATATAAACTTAATTGTTGTAGTTTATGTAAATCTATCATGTAGTTTTATTCAATGTCCAACATTTGTCAAATTACTGACCAAGTGGGAAGAATCTAAATATTATCCAATTCAAGTAAATACCACCCTTTTTTTATATTAATAGATTTTAAATATTTTTTGAATTCTATTTATTTTTTATATTTACGAAGGTAAAAGAATTTTGAAATTAAGATGTACATTTAAATAAAAATATATATTAAATTATAATTAATAAAAAATACTTTTAAAAATATTTATAATAAGATATAAATTAATACTATTTAAATGGGCTTAATATTTAATAGTGTGGTAATATTAAAGGGGCTTGATATTATATAGAACAATATTTGTTTTAATCGGCCCAAATAACGCCGGCCCATTACATTATCTTATACTAAACCCATTAAAATTAGAATTTTATTAGCACAAGACTAAATTTCCATCGACCATAAAAGAAGATCCGACGGTGGATTTGAGGGTTAGTATAAAACCCAACAAAATCGGAACTATCGGGCAAGAGCTTGCTCTCCTAATTTCTCCGCAAACATTGTTTTTTTCGTTCATCTTCTTTCATTTTTTCTGGTCGAAATTTATTGTTTTTTTACCGAACCTGAAAATTGTTTCACTTTTTAGGTTTGTTAGATAGATTTATTTTATAAGTTTTGTTCGAATACATGTATTTTATCATATCAATCTTAGGTTGTTTTTGTCATTTTTTTAAACCTGCTCAAATGAAGATTAGAATTCATTTTGAATCTTTATGTTTTTTATTGATTTTGTATTATTGTTTAACGATTATTATGATTCTTCAAAAAGAATCATTCGTTTCTTTGCCCGAAAAATAAATTTTGTTTATTATCTTATAGTTTTTTTATATGTTAGGGATTTTTATTTTTGCTTTATTGGGTTTTTAAGATTCTTCAATATTAGGTTTTTTTTTGTTGGATTTAGGAATTTTTTTGTTCAATTTGGTTGGATTTTTTTGTTAAAAATCTGTTGTTCGATTTGAAATATCTCAACAATTTCAATTATCCAGTTTTAATTAACATATTTTTATATGATTTTTTTGTACGAATTGCTTGGATTTTTTTGTTAAAAATCTGTTGCAAATTTGAATTTTTCTAAAAAATTCACGTGTAAAGCCGCAATTTTTGAACATAGTAAGAGCTCATATGGATTGGATTTTAGTTAATGCGGAAAAAAAAGTTGTAAAGTAGAAAGCATTTAATGAAGAAAGAGGTTTGACCAAAAATTTAGTTGTCATTTTTTAAAAATGGTAAATCTGTTTATATATATATACATAGTAAAGAGATATTAAATGAATTAGTTTCACAGAGCTTGTCCGTTAAATAGCTCGTGCGATGCTTTTTTTTTTTTTTTTAAAAAGTAGCTCGTGCCGTGCGCCTACAGATATATTAAGGCTATG